ATTTGTATATAATTGTAATGTAATAATATAATTGTGTGTGTATATATATATATATATATATATATATATATATATATATATGTAATATGTTTGTCCTATATTAATTTTGTTTTTACTTTTGAATGTAAATGTGTAAATGAGAGCGTCATTTATCAATAAAACAAAAGAAGACATGTGCATTTATAAAAACTTACGAAAATTACCCTTACCTGCCGCGAACGAGGTATTTTATGTAAACGTTTCGAATACACTGAACCAAGCAATACATCATGGTAGAATAATTGTAGCGACAAATGTTGTGATTTATTAGATTTCTATTACACATTCAATCACATTCGCAAAATATCTTTATTCTTTTGCAATCACCTCTCCTTGACAATTACTGTTTTCTTTATTAACAGTTATCTTCGATGGGTTCGATACTTCGTTAAAAACCAGGAGTAGAGGTAGACCTCCCATGACCATGCATGTGCCCATACATAGAAAACATACGGAGTAACTTCCGGTTACATCGCGCAGATAACCTGGAATGTAACATAGAAACGTTAACAGTTAGTGATACTGATTACTTTTTATTTAAGTAAAGTAATACCTCTGCGACTACCATGCAGAATCAAGTATCTTCAGGCTCATTAATTCAATTAATATTTATCTTAAATGCTGTTAAAATTCAAATAATTTTATACCTGCTAAAGGTGGGATAGAAATTGCTCCGACGCTCTGGAACATTCTTACAAGACCATAAGTAGAAGAAATTTTATCAGTTCCATATTGGTCTGCGAGAAGGACGGGAACCAAAAGAAACCAACAGCCCAAACATAATCCGTACATGCCTACAGAACATGCCAGGACGTAGAAAGAATGGGCCATTGGAATTACCAGTACTGCCACACCAGCACCCATAACACTGTTCAAGAAGGACAACTTTTATGAAATGAGAAGGTCAAAGATATAAAAATACCAAGCGGATATTTATACGCTTTGCAGAAATATTTCTTTAACGTACCTTCCAATGTATCCTTTCCGCCGATCAAAGAGCCTCAAATCCGAAAGCCAACCGAGCCCTAATCTTCCGCACAAATCGAACGCAGCGGAAATAGCCACCAGGTAGCCAGCTTCCGACTTCGTGTAACCAGCAGCGTGCACGTATGCCGGAAGATAATAGAGCATGTATGGACTTCCGGTGGACATGAGACTAACGGAAAAGCACATCATGATGAATTGAGGATTTTTCAATAGAGACAGATCGATGTACTGCGCTATTCTTTGCATCACTGTTTTCTTTTCTTCCGGCAGTTGTAGCTCGTTCTGAGGAACTGGACACATCGCCGTGACCGACGATCTCAGAGATCTCAACGACGATCTAGCCTTGTACACGCACGTGGAATCAGTCGACAGATCTTCAACGCTGTGCAATATACTCGAACTTCGTATCTTCGAGATTGGTTTCATTTGAAGACCCTCACCCATCACGTCTTTCTCTTCGTCGCTGTCTGTCAACTCGACCGCCACCACGTTGTTCTGATGAAACAATTCGTTCAACAGATTATGCTTCGTAGTCGAGTCATTGGCGAACAGTAAGTCTAACTTTTGCTGTTTCGCCGTTTCTAATTCCTTTGGCGTACTCTCGACCTTTTCTTTCTTCTCTGGCATCCCCGTCTCTTCCGGTGCATAGTTGTTCTCCAATGGCCGGTACAGTGTTGCACTGACGCACACGTGAAGCATGCAACCACCGAGCAGAAGTATGGTACCGTGGAAACCAAAATTGTCCACCAGAATCTTGATCAGAAGCGGAAACACGAAACTGCCAGCTGCTGTACCGGATACGCATATTCCATTTGCTAACGCACGATGTTTGTCGAAGTATTGAGAAACGAGAATGATACCTGGTGTTGTCGACAAACCACTCCCAATGCCTAGAATTGTTATATTAATAAATATTATAAAAATATATAAAAATATTCAAACATTTATAATCGGATTAATTTTATTATCGAATTGTTCATTCGTCATCATATTCTTTCTTTTAAGCGTATATAGTGTCTGCATTTTCTTACGTAACCAAATAATGGATCTTGATAGGTTACATATAGACATATACACATGTGTATGTACACATGTATATTGAAACGAATGTACAGTCGAGAAATTTTATAAAATTAATTGTCTACGAACCTGTGAGAACTCCAAATGTAAAAAAGAGATGTATCAAGCTCGTTGCGAAATAACTTATGGTTAATCCCAAAGCACAGAACAATCCACCAACGAAAACGACTGCCCGACAACTGTACTTCTGGCATAGCATACTCGTCACTGGAGCTGCATTTAAATTATTCACGCGTTAATCTTTAAAATGTTATACAGTTTCTTCATATTTCATATGTATGTTAAAATTATAGTGACTCAAAGTGATTTGATGCTATATTAAAATCCTCAAAGAAGGATTTCAAGTAAACGACGCTTAGTAAACGTAATAATTCTTTCTTAAGCTTCCAAGTAATTTTTAAATCGTACCATTTTTAAAATACATGTACGATATTATTATTATTATTATTATTGTACACAGAAAAGCTAGTTCAATCAGTGATTTCCATGAAAACACTTCAGCAACTACTCACCAAGGGCGAGACAGAGACAAGATAAAATAGCAGGTATCCAAGAGGCGACCGAGGCTGAAGAATCTTTGAATGTTTCCATCACCTCAACATACAACACCCCGTAAGACTTCATCAGTCCAGTCACCCAGAATTGAACAAAAAACGCTCCGCATACAATCACCCAGCCATAACCACCGTCCAATGGAACGTACTTGATGTTTCTCGATTTCTTCGTTTCGCATTTCTTAGGTTTCTTTTTCTTAGTAATGGAAGTTTTCGTCGACCGGAGTTCACGAGATTTGGCAATCAACGGCCTGGCCGTAAGGCTCGATATGGTCAGAAGATTGTCGTTATCTTCGTCCTCGATTGTGTCTGGACTTTGAAGATGCGGCGGCACGATCGGCGTCGATGTTGCTGTCGCTTGAACGGCTAACGAAGCTGGTCTTTTCGGCGAGGGTATACCTGTGCTCAGATCGAAAACGGGCGCTGAATGTATCGACAAAAGGGAGCCTAGTTGATTCTGTTGATTCATATTCTCGTCGATGACAGTGGTACCGACCATCTCCTGCGACGCTGTCGCACAGGCGACAACGTCACGTTCAACCGAATCCTGCAGGCTCCATTCTCGTGGTAACGACATATTTCTGTGGCTTCGTTCACGCGAGGTGGACCGTAATACATTGGAGTTACGTTACTTTTCCTCTTCGTCCTTTGGTTCAGCTGGCAAACTGTCTTTTTTTTTCACCTGCTTTACCTTCTCCAATTTCTTTTTATCTCTTATGTGAAAAACGGAACGCTCTGTATCTCTTTACCTATGCATTTGTCTCTAGGTTTCCAAGATCGTTTTCTATATTTTTCTCTGTCTCTCTTACTAGGTATCAATCTTCGCTTTCTCTACTTTCTTCTTATTCTTTGTTCCTTGAACTCTTCAAATCTTCCTGTTTTGGAAGGTACACCTTATCAGAATCGGTCCACCCCGACTTGACTTCCTCGTTACTTATCCACCGTCGATCTCCTTCTCACCATTTACACGTTCTCCAAGGTTCTCCTGACTCGGTCTAAGGGTGCTTGGTAAATAACCAAAGCGAAAAGGGTGCGCACGCAGAGGAGGTCGCCACCAAGTGGAAACTTACGGGATCGATATGCAGCCACAACTGACGCACTGGCATCTCGCGGTGTAGTTACCACCACGTGGCTTGGAAACAATGCAGGGACCTATCGGTTTATTGTCCTGCCGATCGACCCACTTTTTCCATCCTCTCTCACCTCCACCAGCTTCTACGACCGCTTCCACTCCGTAATCCCTGCTCCTGGACGATCTTCGATCGGTTTAGATCGCGTGTTCTGTTTTTTTTTCCAGCTTCAATTATTCCAACATCTTTAGAAACGATGGAGGTCGTCAGAATTAATCGTTGGGGAGAAACAGATCCCAAGGAGACGTCACGAGTTGTTACGACCACTGAGAAATCCTGAATCCTCTTGGCAATACTTATTTAATTTTATGTTGACGAATCTGAATGGAATCAAAAATAAATTATTCTTAGTTGTTTATGTTTGTCATACGTCTCTACGGTCGAATTCTATATATTTAAATTTATCGAATAATAAATAATTCTTACAATAATAAATAAAAGGTTCTGATCAGATTTCTTACTTTATATTCCAAAAGGAATAAAAAATTTTAACTAATATTGGTTATAAAATATGACAAGAAAAATAATGTAAAAATTGTTTTATAGTTATACAATATTAATTACAATTATTTAAAATACCTTCAAAATATTTGGAATATAAAATAAAAAACCTATTTAGTCAAAAACTTTTGCATACCACTGTATTGATCAATCCTACTATCTATCATTTCTCACTCAGATAAATGGACGTCATGGTTCAGATAAATGAAATCGATCAGTAGGAATTTATTTAGTTTCATTAACTAAAATTCGATAAGCAGAATTCTATTCGCAAATTAGATACAAATTGATTCAAATAATTCTGAGAATAGAAAAGAAATAAGGAGATTAAAACAAGCAGGGGAGGACAGATTGTTGGAACGATCGAAAAGAAATCGTAAGGTCACCTGGAAAATAGGAAAACATCCTAATATTGTAATAGTGGGGACGAGGTCTGTGCGCAGCATCCGAACGGATCAATGAATCTCTGACTTCTGTCTCTCAGATCCACCTTTGCGCTCGACGTTGACACTGGGTCCGTTCATCGTGCACTTAGATAAGGGCGTGAACGATTTTCAAATGAATCGCAAATCTATACGTCCCTGAATATTACGTGAAAACTCAACGGCTATAGACGGTATATCCGGTACGTTCAGATTTCATCTTTGGAGATAAACTGCTCCAGAAGAAATAATAATATGTAGTTAAAGTTAAATGTTCTTATATTTTTTTATGTTCTCCTCTCCTCTGTATGTAATATTAAATTTATGTTAATGTAATTCATTCTAGATTTTGTATTACATATATAATTTGAAAATAGATACAATTTTTATAATTCATTATGCATCATCTCTGTGTACTATCCACTTTAAAATCCAGATTTCTTTCTAGATCGAGTTTTCTAATAATGAAATACGAAGGTATCGCATTGTTCATTTCCTTAATTATTCTGAACGACGAGGTCTACAATGGACTCGTCGCGAGCCAATTCAACAATCCCACTTTCTTTATGATCGGCGGCGTTTTTTCTAATAATGAGAGCAAAGAATATTTCAAACGAACGTTGAACGTAAGTTGCATTCAATGAAAATCCTTTTAAGATTAAATAGTTTCATTTGAAATAGAGTCATCATTGTCTGAAATCTAATTCGTTTTACATTAAGAATTTCTTAAAATCTAGTTTAGTTTAATTCAATTGCATTAATCTTTTAATAAAATTCCGCCTCTGTGAGGTAAGGAAGTTAAGTTCTAATGCAAGTTGGAATTCAATTGTTTTATCCAACAGAACATTAGACAATTAGTCACAGGGTAGCTATATATATTATTCGTCATATTTTTTAAATAGCATGAAAACATTCAGTCATCATTAATTTTGCACTTGGCCTGGTTTTTTAGAATTTGAACTTCAACTCACAATATGTCAATAAGGGAGTGACTTATAAGCACACTGTAATTGAAATGGACTCCAATCCAATTAAGACCGCTTTGAGCGTGTGCAACTCTTTGATAGCGGAACAAGTGTACGCGGTGGTAGTCTCTCACCCCCTTACGGGAGACTTGTCACCAGCTGCTGTGTCTTACACAAGTGGATTTTATCATATACCAGTTATAGGTATATCTTCAAGAGATTCCGCGTTCTCCGACAAAGTGAGTCAACTAATAAATTTAATGAAAATCTCTGATTACGTAATATTTATAACTTTGTATTATAAAAATAGATTTTCTGTCAGAGTTGTTTATTAGTGTAAAGTATGAATAATGAAAATCCAATCAGCAGTAAATATGTTAAATTGCAGTTCTAATGGAAGATTTGCACAAATAAGATTATCTGTAATACTTATTACGTCAATGTCATATTATCCATATTACGTGTTACATTAAATATCTGTATAGTATATGCGACATACTGTATTCTTTCAGAATATTCACGTTTCTTTTCTAAGAACGGTCCCACCGTATTCGCATCAAGCAGACGTATGGGTTGAGTTACTGAAACACTTCAACTATATGAAAGTGATCTTCATCCATAGTTCAGATACAGACGGTCGAGCGTTGCTTGGAAGGTTTCAAACGACTTCTCAGAATTTGGAAGATGATGTTGAAATTAAAGTTCAGGTATATCCAATGAAACGTTCTGATCTTGTTAAAAGAAAAATCTGTCGAAATAATTATTTATAAGTTTTTAATGATGGATTTAAAACAGGTAGAATCTGTGATCGAATTCGAACCTGGTTTAGATAGTTTCACGCAACAGTTGATAGACATGAAGACTGCGCAAGCCAGAGTTTGTCTTTTATATGCCTCGTAAGTATTATTATTTTTTATTTGTAACAAAAAAACCTATAAAATTACGTTAAATAATTGTAATAAGTAAATCGCTAAAAAGCTACCACTAAAGTTTCATCATCCAATGGACAAATGTTGAATGAAAATTGGTTTACTCTTCAACAGGAAAACGGATGCGAGCGTGATCTTCCAAGACGCAGCAGCGTTAAATATGACCGGTGCAGGATATGTCTGGATTGTGACGGAGCAAGCCTTAGATGCACCAAACGCACCGGAAGGTCTTCTCGGCTTGAAATTAATTAACGCAGAGAAAGAAATGGCTCACATCGAAGATAGCCTGTCAGTTCTTTTCTAATCATGTATAGACATCCACGCATGTATGTTGCGTCTGTAGTTTCGTATCTTACTAATGAAAAAAAAGATCTAGAAACGAAAAAATAAAAACAGAAGGACACACGATACCTACGCATGAGAAGACTTACAATTAGAACAAATGAATGGACGTCTTTACAGTACTCACAAGAAAAAGAAAAAAGAACGAACTATCTTTCTTACCATTTCTTTATTCAAACTTTCTCTGATGTAGAACTGTACGATTGCATGCAACGCACAGGGAACACGCATTCTGATTTCACGGCAATGTACAACTGATTTCAGATCACTGGATCACATACTCTCTTAGCACACCCTCCAATCTGTCCAACGGATATTCTGTATTGTTCAGCGAAACACTGAACACGCTTTGAACGTTTAGGATATGTGTGTACGAGTAACGTTGCTCTATTTCTCTCTGTGTGAAACAACCTACTAACCATTTCAGATAAATATAATCAGTAGTTAACGAAGTAACAAATGATTTTGATGAAAATGGTAGTCTCGAGATCGATTACAATTTGAAGATTACTCGATTAATACCTCAAATTTTATTTCGAATTTTCCAATCATTATGACGTGTAACAGATTGCGATTTTATAGTCTAACAGGATATATATTTCAGGATAGTGCTCGTATCTGCTTTACGGGAGATGAACAAGACAAAAGTGATTACGGAAGCGCCAAAGGATTGCGGCGATTCTGGCTCCATATGGGAAACCGGCAAGAGCCTTTTCGAGTACTGTTTACTCCTTACGCATTCTTACTCGTGTAAATTAGATAGCATTTTGTCATTCATTCTGCTTTAGATTCATTCGCAAAGAGGTGCTATCAGATGGTACTACTGGCAAAGTAGCATTCGATGACAACGGGGACCGCATTTATGCTGAATATGACATCATTAACATCCAGGAGAATGGTGAAAGGATCTCTGTTGGACAGTATTTTTATCCATCTGTAAGTGAGAGAGCGAAATTATGCGTTGAAAAATATTAAAACTGCGTTATTCTTTAATTAATTAAAAAAATTTTTAAAAATGTATTACTATTTCTCTAATATTGAAATTCATATCATATCGTAGAATGGTACCAAGATGACATTAAGCGTCAACGAATCGAGCATAATATGGCCCGGCCGACTGCAAACTAAACCCGAAGGTTTTATGATTCCTACACACTTAAAAGTGCTAACTATCGAAGAAAAACCATTTGTCTACGTTCGCGAGGTCGCATTCGGCGAATTATGTCTTCCAGAAGAGATTCCATGTCCCCATTTTAATGCTACCGAATATGAAAGTAAGAATTTACTAAATATCACGTAATATACGTATACGTATACGTACACGTTGTTTACAGTAACATTTTTAAATATTTACAGCTACGAAAACATATTGTTGCAAGGGATACTGTATGGATTTGTTAAAGGAATTGTCAAAGACCATTAATTTCACCTATAGTTTGGCCTTGTCTCCTGACGGACAATTCGGCAGCTATGTGATCAAGGACAGTTCAGGTGCGAGTAGAACCATGGTAGAACAGTTGTAGATGTAAGATCTCGTTTCGATGAGAACACATACGAGCACGAAATAGATATTTATATTATATATTTAATCGATGGACTTCTCTCTTCAGTCGGAGGAAAGAAAGAGTGGACAGGACTTATCGGAGAACTGGTGAATGAAAGAGCAGATATGATCGTTGCTCCTTTGACGATTAATCCGGAACGTGCCGAGTTCATCGAGTTCAGTAAGCCATTCAAGTATCAGGGCATCACCATTCTTGAAAAGAAAGTACGATTTATTTACCTATTAATAGTTAAATAATTATATCGTAGAATAATTAAAAATTATAATTATTATGATAATATTTAATCATAGTTGACATAGCTAACAGTTAGTAAAAATTGGAATTATTGACCCAGGTATAAAATTGTAAAAAGAATTCTGTGTTTAGCCATCAAGATCATCAACGTTAGTGTCGTTTCTGCAACCGTTTAGCAACACCCTATGGATACTGGTGATGGTGTCGGTGCACGTGGTGGCTCTAGTTCTGTACCTCCTCGACCGGTTCTCGCCTTTCGGGAGGTTCAAGCTAGCAAACACTGACGGTACCGAAGAGGACGCCTTGAATCTGTCCAGCGCCGTCTGGTTCGCTTGGGGAGTTCTTCTCAACAGTGGAATCGGAGAAGGTTCGACATTTTTCCATAAAATAATAAAGAAGATACTTGATTCAAACAATGCAAAAATTAAATTTCATAAAAATCATTACTTCAAAAAATACATAGACATTAACGATTATGAACATTGAACTTCAAAATATTTATAGCAATCTCCGTATAACATTCTTTTATCAACTGAAGTGTAATTAAATCGATCGCTCGTGAACGGAATGAAGCTATATATAAAAAAGTTCCACTTCAATAAATGAGGATTTTATCGAGTTTTATAAATATTATGTCTAAACAAAATTATTTTAACAGGTACTCCACGGAGTTTTTCTGCTCGAGTTTTGGGCATGGTGTGGGCAGGGTTTGCAATGATTATCGTTGCCTCTTATACTGCCAATTTGGCTGCTTTCCTCGTGTTGGAACGGCCGAAAACTAAATTAACTGGCATTAACGATGCTCGAGTAAGAATAAAATTAATAAATTATAAAACTAATATTAGTTTTTGTATCTTTACTAACGTCTCAAAATCTATATTATATAGACGTTATAATTATTGATTATATTGGTTTCCGCACTTTTTTATCACGTTTGTATCTCTTTAGGCATTTTTTTTTTCTTTTTAAATATTAAAGATTAGAAAAAAACTTATAATCCGCGATAATAACAGTGAATATAAATATAATGTTTTATAACATTTACAATTTTGTTTTCCATTGTATTATTTTTTGGAACAATCTATACAAACGTATATGTGCATATGTATATATCAATCACTTCTACTGTTATCTTTTGCTACAACATTCATATCGATTTTAGTTAAGATAACAAAACTATTGCATTATCTAAGAAACATCACTTACAGCTTAGAAACACCATGGAGAACCTTACGTGCGCCACAGTGAAAGGTTCCGCTGTGGACATGTACTTCCGTCGACAAGTTGAATTATCCAACATGTATCGTACAATGGAAGCAAATAATTACGACACTGCCGAAGAAGCCATCAGAGATATAAAAATTGGGTAAGAACACAGACAAAAGATAAAATTTTGTTTACCATAGAAATTACAAATCGCCGATTCGAGGAATAATACTATATTTGCAGCAAACTTATGGCTTTTATCTGGGATAGTTCTCGACTAGAATTTGAGGCTGCTCAGGATTGCGAATTAGTAACTGCTGGAGAACTATTTGGCCGTTCCGGTTATGGAATTGGCTTGCAAAAAGGTTCCTTATGGGCAGATGCTGTGACTCTTGCTATCTTGGATTTCCACGAAAGTAAGAATCAGTGAAAATTATTACCTAAAAGTGTAAAATAATTGAAACTTAGTAATGGAAATAATAATGTTATATAATATTGATATTTATTGTTAGGTGGCTTTATGGAAAGCCTCGACAATCATTGGATCCTTCGGAGTAACGTGCAACAATGCGAGCAACTTGAGAAAGCTCCGAATACTTTGGGCTTGAAAAATATGGCTGGAGTATTTATAGTGGTCGGTGTTGGAATCATAGGTGGTATTGGACTTATTATCATTGAAGTAGCGTACAAGAAGCATCAGATTCGCAAGCAAAAGAAGATGGAACTAGCGAGACACGCAGCTGACAAATGGAGAGGTGCAATTGAGGTAAAAGATGAACTTGATCATAAATCATTGACTGGAATCGAATTTTTCCCGTCCGATGTTTTTTGTTGCTCTTTCCTCAGAATTCTGTGTTTGTTAGTAAATTTCAAGCAGCCAGGACAAAGTAGGGGAGCAACGAAGGAATTCTAACAGACTTCAGTAACGATACCTAAAAGAACATGATCGTCAAATGAACACGAACATTCTAGATTAAAGCACACACAAAAATTCATATGCTTTGCAAGCTTAAGGCAGTAAGATTCGATTTTGCATTTTTTATAAGGATAGTGTAAAATACGACAGGAAAGGTATTTCGTTGTATTTTACACTAAAATTGTTGCTTTTATACCGCATCAAATATTTATACAGTTAGCTTCGTTCTATCAGTAATAATACGCTTCAAACACCACGTATCCCTTTCCTGCAAAAAAAAAAAAATATATATATAAGAAAAATGAACCTCTAGTTCTTACAGTGCTGTTGCATTAGATATGTAAAACATCATTACTAGACTGCGAATATTTACACAAATTCATGAGCGTAACTAAGGAAATGAAATCTAAGCAAGAATTTCCAATCCACCACAACTAACTTTTACGTCTTTAAATTTCCATAAACGCATCAAAATCCGCAATCTAATCATTATAGCTAATTTTAAATACGATTCGTATATAAGTAGTGCCTCGCTAACTGGTTATGAGATCTCATCTGGTCAATTATTGAGAATATAATTCTAGTGAAGTCCCACTAATTTTTCTTCGTTATCAACAGTTATCTAACATTCGTTCATTTTATATAACGTGACATTAAAAACTTCTTCTGTTAACAACTTAATTCTAAGAACAGTTAGAACGATGGCCAGCTAACGAGATACCACACAGTATTGCAATATAAATCCAATAGAATTAGTCAAAGTAATAAGATGAATGCAATTTGCTCCAAGACATCCATTACGCTTGTCTAATTCTCATCTTTTTGATTTTTTAAAATGCAGAAACGAAAGACTCTACGAGCTTCGATAGCCGCTCAACGAAGAATTCAAAGTAACGGCCTTAACGATCCTACGACCGTGAGTTTAGCGGTCGATACAGTAGCTAGATCAAACGTGGCACCGCGAAGTCCTGGTCGAGCATGGCCAGGAGACAGTGACATCCGTCAACGACCCATTCCACGTTCAGATGATATTAGGTTGTCGCCTGCCGCATACACTGCAAACGTTTCACATCTCATAGTATAAAGTAACTTGTTCTTATCGATTACCTGTACATCGTAAAATATCAAAATGTTATGTTAAGGAGAGAAAAGTTTATTAAATATGACGCATGTGTAACTGTGTTGAGAATAATAAGTTTGTTTTGTACAATAAAGACCATTACTTTAAAGATCGTTTTTACAGTATCCATTGTCCACCAACTCCAGCCAACTGTTAATTCAAGAACCAATGTTATGTTAATACAACATTTCATTTGCGATCCTTTAGTTAATTTATATCATCGAATTTTGTCATTGCTTTATCATTGTAATCAAAAGCAATCTCAAAGAATTAACGAATCAAATTTTTTTTCCACCTACTCGGTCTATCTTTTATGATTTAATAAAATTTAAAAAACTGAAATACGAAAACCGCTTCTTCCAAATTGTAGAACCCTCTCTTTATATTTCCAATTAATTTCAATTTGCACTTTTGCTTTAATAAAACAATAAGTTACTTTATTTTTATCTTTTAAATATTTCATTGTCTCGCGTCTTAACGGGCTAATTATACTTTGATTGACGTCATATTTGTTATAAAAAATTATCATGTACGCTACAATGTCTTTCTTGCAACTGTACGAAGTAATTATCTTTAAACGGTGGCTGATAAAAATATCAGCAAAATTGAATAGTTTTGAATCATCACCGACCCGGAAGTCAAAATATTTCAAGGTTATCTTTATCCTTTCAACCGCAATCGACGCATTCTTTTTTACTTTTCCTGAAAAAAAAATGTAAAATGAAATACAAGATGATCAATTTAATGTCTTAATATTAATTTTGTAGATTTTATTTATTTTAGCTTTTAGAACTCTCATAAAAGAATTTCACTACTTTTGTTATGATTGAAGGATATGAAAGTCCCAACGTACTCCATAATTTAAATTCAACTAATCAGATACATTTGTATACATTTTCTTCTTTATCTTTGGTACTTAATACCAGCTTTTTAATTACTGAGTTGATTGTAATTTTTTTCTTAGTTTCTATTTAAACATCAAAAATTTGTTAATAAAATTTCAGTTAGCTGATATTAACTCATATCTGAAACATACAATATTTAATTGTTATAATATTTAATAATAATATTTAATGTTCAAAACTTACCAAAACGATTACATTAGATTAAGTTAGACTCTAGTTTTAGGCCTGAATGAATTTATTTAAACATTTCTGAATAAATACATGCTCGTCATGTGAAAGATTATCAGTTCTAAAAGGAACAACCGAATATTTTCGAATATTCGAAACGTAATGTTATTCGTTAATAACATTTATTTAACAGACATCTCATTCAGTTTTGTAAGTTTCCTATCTACGTCCATTTTTAAGTGACTATGATCACAGGCGGAACACATGAGAACAAATTGTGTCAAGTTTCTCACCGCTGTCATTTGACGAACTTTCATTGTCCACTGTATCGGATTTGTGTTTCTCCAAGTGGTCTCGAGGCAATTTTTTTAATTAATTGCACTGTCGAAAAAGGCATGGCGGATACGACAGTGGACGCTACACGTCGTCTAAATGTCAAAAAACAAACGCTAGACGACGCTTATGCCGCGCCAGCAAATTTTCTCGAAATTGACGTGATTAATCCAATCACGCACGGCGTCGGCAAGAAACGATACACCGATTACGAAGTTCGCATGAGGGTGAGTGACAAGACTCCTTTTATTTTATTTTATACAGTTTCATTCTTTGTTCGTCAGTGAACCAGACCAAACCACGTTTTTTTCCATTCTAAATATCACCTTTTTTTTTTTTATAGTTTCGACACAGAGAGCATTTTTAAGATAGCATTTTTATTTGAATACGCAAAATTTTAGTAGGTCTCTGTTCGATTGATTTCTATTCGCTCGTAATTTAATGAATTAAACAGGCTTTTCCTGCAATTCATAATACTCTTTATGAGGGAAACTTACGGTGTTGCAAAATCTTGTTTAATTATTTATGAAGATTTATCATATTATTGTTCAAATTTTTCATATATTTTATTCGCATTAGTTTCACCTTTTGGCACGAAAATAACGACAACGATGGTGTTATTGGAAGTATTAATTTAATTATGGACATTAACCAAATCTATCGTGGGCTGTGTCTGTTATCTTACTGTTAATGATAAAATTGAGCAGATACAAAAATATGTATGCTGTTTCTGAAGTCAGTTGGAAGCCTTAAATTAATATCATATATGAGTTATATTTCAAAATTCAAAAGATAATAATATATATGAGCAAGTTTTTTCTAAAATTTGTATTGAATTTATTCTTGGAACATTATTATTCTCTTCTTGTTTTTTAAAATATAATTAAATATAAATGTTATATTACATTCCTTTTTTTTTTGTACTATACTACAAATACTAATAATAAATAAATCATGAAAAAAAATTTTTCATTTCAGACAAATTTACCTGTTTTTAAAGTGAAAGATTCCACAGTGAGGAGAAGATATAGTGATTTTGAATGGTTGAGGACTGAATTAGAAAGAGATAGCAAGGTCAGCTAATAATGTATATGTAAAACAAATAAAAATAAAAGTTAAATTCCATTAAACTTAATACATTGTATAGTGTCAGAAAAATTATTTTTTTGATTGAAAGGATTATACTAGTAAATAAGAAACGCTTGTTATAAATTTATAGATAGTAGTGCCTCCATTGCCAGGAAAGGCTTGGAAACGTCAAATGCCTTTTCGAGGAGATGATGGTATTTTTGAAGAAGATTTTATTGAAGATCGGAGGAAAGGTCTAGAAGCGTTTGTTAATAAGTAAGTGTACATTGAGTTAAATATTCATTCCATTCATGTTTAACACATAAAAATATTAGTTAAATTATAGCAAAAATCTTACATGATATTTCAGAATAGCAGGACATCCATTAGCACAGAATGAAAGATGTTTACATATGTTTCTGCAAGAACCTGTAATAGACAAGAACTACGTACCTGGAAAAATACGTAATACATAAGTTATAATAAGATTTATTGCAAGTACATATATTTTCCTCCCTCCCCACCTTCAATGTATAAAGTTATATTTGAAAGGTTATTTTAAATTTTTAAGTTAAATTTACTAAGATCCTTCTGTATTTATGCAATATTTAATCGAGCTTTTCACACTGTGATGTTGACATTGTTTCTCGGAGATTGTTGTGTTTCAAATACATAATAAAATATTTGGAAGGATCTTATTATTCATATCATTATCAGTTGTAGAAAATAATTAATAAAGTTTTTTATTATTTTTCTCTTTTGATAATGTTATAATTATATTGATTTCGATCAAAAACTTATGAATTGACATTTATTATTTTCAGAAGTTGCAATATAATATTGTATACAACAGTTCAATTAATATATAAATATGCGAAATTTATGGATTTTAAAATATGGCTTAAAAAATAAAATATTAAGATGAAAACTATTTATTTACAAGTTGTTCAATAGAAAATGTAATGAAAATTTGACATTTTTTAACAATAGCTTTGTCAATTTTTTGTATATGGATGGTATCAATGTAGTAAAATAAATTTAATACTTTACTACATTGTTTTCTATTGGATAACTCGTAAATAGCAATAAGTTTATTTGTAAACAGTGCTATTGCAAATAAGTGGATAAGATCAATTGATTTTAGAACAGAGGTAAACCTCTTAAAAATTGTTTATAATTTGATATTTTTTGCATAAGAAATACTGTTAAAAATCTAAAATTTACTAAACTTAAATCTTTGTTTATTAATGATAAAATATATATATATAACTAAAGTGTTTTCTCCTTGTTATACTCCTTATTTTATTGTGAGAATAGGATGCAGGAATAATGTTTGAACATAAAATTAATAATTTGTACATTGTGTTTTTATATTTTCTAAACTTACATTAGAAGCAACACATTTTTAATGTTTATAATTATCAAAGGGACTATGTACAGGGTATAAATTAAACTATTTTAGAATGTTTCAATTAAATTATAGTTTTTATTACAATGATGCTTTTATTAATATATTTTTCTTTTCTTCTTAATATAAAATAAATATATTTACGTGTATATACAAATATACACGTAATAGTACATACGAAAGATTGTATATTAATATAAATAGTAAAAAATGAAAATTAAGACTGTGACTAAAATATCATTTTTAAAGTTCTAATGTTTAAATAGTAAAATTTTGTATAATTTATTTGGATCAAAACGTATATAAAACTTTTAATAAAAAGAAGCAGCATTGTAAATTCAAAATTCAATATTACAAACTCGCAAAATTATTATTCTTTTCTATTTATACTTCATTCATTTTAAATATGTCTATATAGTCCATATTTAACATACATAAATACTATTGTTATTTATTTTCGTTATAATAAAATATGTAATTCCACTCTTTGTTTCGTCTCAAGCTTAGAACCTTTGAAATTTAAACAAATGTAATATCGATAATTTATATTATTTGAAACATTTTGTGACATTTCTTCTATATATAACAAATCCAATTATGTAACATATGTTTATAAGTACACATCCTGTTTAGTTCTAATGAATTTTTTATTTTTGAAATATGTTTCTATATACTTGCTTACACAGTCTTGTTCTGGAAAATAGAAATAAAATACATGCTGAATATAAGAATATTTTAATAATTATATTTTGTTAGAGTAATTAATAATTATATTAAGTTAGAGTAACTAACCAGGAAATGTATTCTCAATAATAAGCATATCAGCTATATGCTTTGCAACCACTTTAAAAAGCTGTCTATTTTTAATCCTTCGTTTTTTGTAAAATGGCATTAAGTGTTTCACAATCCATGGTGCTATTCTTTCCTTACATGCCGTTAAATGTTCTTCTATACAAATTGGTGAATCTGGCATCATTTCGTCATCAGTTTCTCCAAATAATTCAATAAATTTTTCTTTAACTCTTTCATGTTTTCTATAATTTTTTAAAAATAATTCTGTCATCTTTGCCTTTAGTTTTGATACTTGATATACACGTTCAACAAACCAAATACTATTTATTCTTCGTTTTTGCTTATTTTCCAATGTCTCATTTTCTACTGATAATTTATTACTTTCTCTGTTTTTCATTTCTTTATAATAACTAAAACTATACTTCCTCGTATTTGATGCTTTCATATTAGTGTTTTTACCAGAATTGCTCTTCCTCTTATTATTTTCATATGTCTTAATAGAACCATTAGAATTGTATGGAAGAAGAGCATTAATTTCTTTATCCATATTAGCTTTAGTAACACCTGAATGTTTCTCGATTAATGTCGTAAGATCGCTACTATCATCACTATCACAAAACATATTTTCCATGTGTTGCAAAAGAGAATCCTGTGAATTCTCATCATCCATTTGAATACTGAATTGATTTGCAACCTGAGTGTTAGAATTATCTTGTATATAATTAAAAATATTGCTATGTTCTTTTTCTACTGTTTCTTCACCATTTACTATCATTTTATATGTCTCTTCATCTGATTCATCATTAATTTTATTATGTTCTATATCATTAAAACTAGTAGAATTGATAGTGGGTGAAGCTGTATTATTACAGACAGTTAATTGAGAAGATATATCATCTATACAATCTTCAGTTTTCACATTTACATCCTCTTTTTTAGATCTTGATGTTTCTTTTACAGCGGGCAACTCTTTAGAATTAGATGTAATACAAATACTTTGAATATTGTCTACTTTTTGTAACTCTGCCCATGAATTATTTGTTTGAACTCCTATATCTACCTTAGATGGAGGGGTTTCTAAAAATATCACTAATTTTTTATAAGCCTTTTTCTCTGATGTATGTGATTTTACATCTGAAATCTATAAACATCTTAATTTCAACTATTAATCAATCTATTAGATTAAACTATATTTAATAATTAGAATTACCAATTTCAATATATTTTGCCTGTACAAAGTGGCTTCTAAAGATGATCGTACCGCAAGCAATTCCATCTGATTTGCACACATTTTCAATTGGTTGCTCGGAATCTCTCCATCCTTTTCTTTATAACAAAGGATATAATTGGTGAGTAAACATTTATGAAGATATGAAAAATATACAGCACGAACCTATAATATAAATGTAATACAAATCATTAAACTGAAACAAAATTAACTTTTTAAGTATTAAATGTATTATAAATATAGATTGCTACTTAATTAATTGTAAAAAGATTATTAAATTCAAATATTTATAAATGACTCGATGTATTTGAATTTTATTTGGATTATTGGATTTTATACAGGAAACATGCCGTAGTAGACAGTCGAAGAAACTCATCATTTGGATCAGTGGGAATATGAAACTTATTCGCTGAAAGCGAGGGTATTGATATTGACAGGAGATGGTTAATATCCTCGAGACTAGTATTATCATCATCGGTATCCTCAAACTCTTTTTGTTCTTGTTTCAACATAAATGGTAAAGATGTGTCCATTTTATCCATCGTTGTCATTTTGTTTAACAATCCCTCATCGAAATCTTATACAAAAACAATTTCGAACTTTCATTGACAAACACGGAAAATATTCACCGGACAATAACAGTGGACGTTTGACATTTTTATAAATCAAACATTCATTATTTCCTAATGTAAATATAAATAGACATTAGACTTTATATTAATAAAGCAATTAAATATCTTTTTTGTTATATCAAACGAAAATAACAATACACTTATTTATACCACTTATATACAGATTTGATTATACAATACTAATCTGCTAGTACCTAACTTCACACGTATTAGAATTCAATGTTCATTGTACAGTAAAATGATTTTTCTATAATTTACGACATTCAGTATTGTTAATAAACATCAGATACTTAATAATTCTATAAATATAAATTTTATAAATTTATATTATTTCAGATTATTAATTATTTGAAACTTTATTAAGAATTATCCACGCTCTTTTATATATCATTGAATTCGAACTGTGCAAAAATTTACATAGAGCGTAAATTTAAAAAAAAATTAAAAATTTTTATATTCGAAATTTTTTAAATTTTCTTAAATATTTTAAGACTTATTAAATAATAAAATTTTTAAATCTTCAAAATTTAGAAATTTATTGCGATTATTACGTAGAAGTTGCTAATTTATTTTATATTATAATAAATATTATCAAAGTTGTTCATTGGTAAATTAAAAAACACATCGTTTTCTCAATATTATTTTTTTTATATTTCAAATATATCTTTTAATTAAAAAAAAAACTATTAATGGTATAGAAAAATACAAAACGTAAAGTAGGAAATATTTTATTTTATGATCCTGATTTATATTTGTACTCTTCCAATACCATATTTAAGAGACTTGTGTTAATATACAATAAGCTTGAAATAATGCTGAAATGATTTAATTGTCTCTAGTTTCTGGTTCTTCATCATATGCTGCCATAACTTTCTCCATTATTTCCCAAAGTTTATCTCTTGTCAAATCTTTACAGAAAACCTGAAAAAAATCAATATTTTTTAATACTTTTAACTAATCCCTGATTTTTACGAATTTTCAAAAATATTCTTAGTCATTACATTAAACCAAGGTTGCTGGTCACATTCATCCATCAATGGCACCACTACACCATAAATTTGTAACGATAAATTGATACAAGCAATTGCTATTAAGTTTGGTGGATAATCAAGTATAGCTGGAGAATGATGAAAATCTTGTAAAAGTGCCATGCTAGTCTTTGCAACTGGATATTTAGACCATTCTTCCTCCCCAAACCATGCTTGCAGAGATCGTAAATAATGCAACATATACTGAAATAAAATTTTTTCATTTAACGCAATTATTTATTTTATGTTTAATGTAAACTATAAATATTTAGTACCTACTTTGTGTGGATGTACAGGAGTTACTTGAAACTTGAGCATACGCATAATTAACAGTTCTGCTTGGACAATTGCATCTCTCATACTCCAATATTGATCACCTAACTCTAATGGTTGTGATCCTCTATGTAATGTGCTATAAGACACATTCATTACATCTCTTATTTTCAAATTATCATCTTTTACTTTCCCTGCTAAGTAAAGACAAGTAGCAGCAATTAACTAAAACATATATAAATCATCTATATAAATTTCAATTATAAAAAATATATATTCAAAATTTTAATTAATATTATAAATGAGTTATTTACACAATTGTCGTAACCTCCTGGAACAGCTTCTTTTATAAACCTATGATACAATGTTGCAGCTGTAGCAATAGTCAAAGGATGAGCTTCTAATTTTAAACCTGTAATTTACAAATGTTATTGCTGCTTTTCAAAGATATATTCTTATTATAATACAAAACTTGATAGTTGATATGTTTACCACATTCAAATATAAATCGTGAAATTGTAAAACTGTCGCTGTTTTTTGTGTAATCAATTGTGATACTCTTTTGCAAAGTATTCCTCTTCTCCCGTTGCATGGCTAATACATCAATAACATCTTTCATTTTGGAACTAAACAACATATTATTGCTAATTAATTTATTGTAAATTATATGCATATATGTAAGATTACAAAAAATATTTAAAAATATCATTACAATTAAAAAATAAAGTATGTTTAATATACTACATTCTATTTGAAAATTTCAATTTGTTAACAATAATAAAGTAATATTCATAACCCGGTGTACCGGCTTTGCAATTTGTCTCACAAACAAATTTATTTCAAATAATTTCCTGAAATTACCTCAAAGTTTCCGTACTAGTAGGTTCTGTTGGATTCATTTTAATGATATTCTGTTTGAATTTGTCTATAATCAATAATACAATTTGTTTTATTGTAGATAATAATATTTATTTACCGCAAACTACGTGTCAGTGTTACCAATATATTTCTTTGTGTTAGAATGCTTAATGCCAACATTAAAATTACTACATTTGAAAAGAATTCTAGAATTATTCATTAACTATAAGTTAAATAATTTAAATTTGAAATACAAATATTTTATAAATACAAACATAACTTAAGAAATACAAACTTTGTACTTTAATATTATAAAAAGACATTTACATTGAGTAATGTATTGTTACGGTATTATATATGGCATACGCAACAGTCATTTAATATTAAAAAAAATAGAAATGTTTTTTATTTTAACAATATTTACATAACATTTACATAATTTGTATACAATAGTATTTAGTATAATAAATAAAATTAATATCCATCTGTGTATTTTTTTGATATGGAATTTAGATATGGATTTTGTATTTGGAATTACTAAAAATATAGTAAAGGTTAAAGTCCATTGTTTTAATATTGTTGAAATCATTAATAATATATACTTTCATTTTGTGTTGTGTTTCATCTTTGTTGATCATAGATATGCCTTTAAAAGGTATAAAAATATTAGAATTAGCTGGGCTCGCACCAGGTCCTTTTTGTGGAATGATATTAGCTGAATTTGGTGCCTCTGTAATTAAAATAGATAAGGTATAATAAATTCTTTCTGTTTCATAAATTCATACATAAATATTCTAACACTATCTGCTTTTATAGTTACATGGGTCTTACAGTGATTTTCTAAATCATGGGAAAAGATCAATTGCATTAAATTTAAAAACTGACGAAGGCTCGAATATATTCAAAAAATTGTGCAATCAAAGTGATGTACTTATAGACCCTTATAGACCTGGTTTGTATACTTTGATAAATATATTATTTTTATGATGTAATATTATGTTATTTAAAATAGGAGTGATGGAAAAATTAAAATTGGGACCAGAAGAACTTATGAGAACAAATAACAGATTGATATTTGCTAGATTAACAGGATTTGGTCATAATGGACCTTATGCTAATATGGCTGGACACGATATAAATTTTTTAGCTTTATCTGGTAATTTAAAAACAATATATTTATGTTAGCTTATTTTATTTCAAATTAAAATATTTTTTAAATTACTTTTAACAATATTCAGGTTTATTATCATTATTTGGACGTCACAATCAGAAACCAACACCACCAATTAATTTCGCAGCTGATTTTGCTGGTGGTGGATTAATGTGTGCTTTTGGTATAGTACTAGCATTGTTTGAACGTAACAGAAGTGGAATTGGTCAAATAATTGATGCATCAATGGTAGATGGATCTGCATATGTAGGCAGTTGGTTTTTTAGATCTCAGAATGTGTATGGGTTATGGGGAAACCCCCGTGGTAAAAATATGTGAGAATTTTTTTATTAAATTATTCAGTTTTTTATTTAATTATTCAGTTTCCATACAAATAAATAATTAAATAATGCCTCATGCAAGCAGATTGGACTCTGGAACACATTTTTATGATACTTATGAAACAAAAGATGGACAATATATGTGTGTTGGAGCAATTGAATCTGGATTTTATGAGATATTTTTAAAAAAACTTGGAATTGCATTAGATGAAATGCCACAATTTAGTAATTTTGAAGAAAGTCGTGAAAAATTAGAAAAGATATTCAAACAAAAAACTCAAGCAGAATGGTGCACCATATTTGATGGTTCAGATGCTTGTGTAACACCCGTTTTAAATTTAAAAGATGCTGCATCACATACACATAATAAAGAAAGAAATACGTTTAAAATTGAAGATAACGGTTTAATAACACCAAATCCTGCTCCTCGTTTATCTCGTACTCCTGGAATGTCCAAAGGATATCAACAGAATCCTGAAGTAGGTGAGCATACTACAGAAATTCTTACTGAATTAGATTTTAAACCTGAAAAAATTGCTAGTTTAATAGCAAATGGTATTGTTAATCAAAGAATAAAACGTTCTAAACTCTAAGTGTCATTTATTCTTATTAAAATATTTACATACATTTGTTAAATCATGTCAGATTATATAACTATAATGTTTTTATACATATTTTATTATTGTTAAAATATTTTGTCGTATTATAAATATATGAATATATATTTTTTTAAATACCAAACAATGTTTATTTACTAAATACCTAAATTTAAAAAATTTCCAGTATTCTAAAAAAAAGAAAAAGTAAACAGTTTGTATTAAAAATTACTAATTAGTCTATTTACCGGCAACCACAGCTATCAACAACCATATTTTTTAATTTTTTTAACGTAACATTATTATTATCGACAAAATGAATTATCGATATTGGCGACAGTTTTGTAGGTACGCAGCATGGATTTGGTATTTCAGCATGGTTGGTGCCACAATCCAATCTTGCAATTAAAAGTCCTTGAAACTTACATACAATGAGTTAATCTTGCACATATTGCCTGTCGGAGTAGACGCATTATTTTGATTATGGTGTTGCTTTTCAAATTCGGCACTTCGTTTTGTTTAGATGTTATTTCGTGTGTTCCACTATGATCCACTATGAAAGTGAATCTTTTAAAAACGATTACTAAAAGCGGTTGCTTATTTGGAATTCCAGAAATACCTACAATTCCTATATCTTTTAGTTTTGGAATACGAGTATCATGATCAGTATATATTGCAAAAAACAAGCCGTAATTTTCTTTTGGAAACTTAATCCAATGTTCAAGAGCTTGACTGATATTTAAACTTATCCATCCTCTATTTATCGAAGTTTTGACTGAATTTATGTAATGTCTAATTCGTCTTCCATTTTTTTTTTTTTTTTTTTTGAGCTATTCTGTATGCTGTTATCTTATAGACTTTATTATGGTCAATATTTTTATCCAAATTTGATATAGCCACAATTCTGTTGCCATAATATCTTTTATTTTTGATATTTCTGATACATCAAACCAAATTCTTGTATTACCATTAATTTTAGATGGATTGCTTGAATGAGCGTTCTGGGCACTAAATGTCATAATTAACTCACTCTGACCGATGATATTAATAATATTATTGCTTAGATTATATTCATTTATGTTTTCTTGATTTGATTCATCATTACTCGTTAACATATTCTTGTAAATACTCAAAAGAAATGTGGATGCTGAGTTTTTTTATCCGCGAGTTATTTAAGATCCGCGAATTCTTGGTTTGTTTGGTAAATCGAGAATATTTAATAATGTACGTTCTGTATTTTCTTTTTCTTTACTGTTAGCAGCTTTAACTATAATCGTCCGATTAAATGCATTGTCTACATAAAAGCCACTAAATTTTTCACAATTTATAGGAAATATTATCAGAACAAATATTATTTCTATAATGTGTATTTTATGCATTTTGTTTCTAATAAATATCCTAATATTTTCTAATAAGTAATTAACTTTGTATATATTTATATTCTACTAAAGTACTTGTAATTGGAAAAGCAGTTTGATATTTGTTAGTGAAATCACATTTACTCTTTTATATAAGAGGACATTCAGATCTGTTTGTATAAAAATAAATCGTTACTATCTAGGTACGCAAAAATAATGTAGCAAAAAAAAAATTAAGTACTCATATTGCATTAATATTCGTTATATGTCTTAATGATTAATTTTATTTACAATAAATAGTATAATAACTATTTTCTAAATTATCTTATTATTAAATTTTTATTAATATTTTTATTACTAGCTAATATGGCTCACATATGCAGATTAAATTTTATACTTAAAATTTAAATAAAATGCATGTACTTTACAATTTAACAACGGAAAATTGATATAACAATTACAAATTGATACAACAGGATAAAAGCAATATAATACAATTATTTACGAGAAGTTAATTTAAAACTTAGCACAGAATTACAACGTAGAATTTTCATTATAAATATTGAATATTTATTACAAACTACAACAAATATGAATATATTTGGAAAATATTGTTACTGAGTCGGTGGTGGTTGTAGTGGTTGATCTCGATATTGCTTTTTGACAGCGGGAATAGACGCCGGTTTTATTGACAGTAAAGAACCAAAAAAAACATGTTGGATAACAGGAAATTTTGCTAAAACCTGATATTTAAAAAATTATTATTTATTTATTATATTATTATTATTAAATTTATGACGAATTGTTAACAATAATATTTACCTCGGCTCTGTACATTTTGATAAGGCCACTATTTACTTTGACCCATGAAGATACTGCGCTAACATTCCATAACTGATTTGAATGTTCAGCAAATGGACCTATCTTTACCTAAAATAATATTTGTCTTTAAAGTATAAAAGTCTAACAATATAATGTATATATGCATGTGCATATATACATATACAAACCTTTGAAATAAATTCAATACAACCAAGAAACATATATTGCTTGCTAAAAGCCTGAACGATATCTGGTTCAACGAAATGACGAGGTTCTATACGAGAATGCCCTGAATGATAAGAATGATATTCTATGTCAGTTTTTATGTACATTTATGTATATTTTTAAATTATATTAAAAAATTAAAAAAGTTAGTACAAAAAAATCAATACCAATTAATTGAGCACTTCCCCATATAAATGGGACAAACTGATAGTCATCTAAGCTCCACACACCATGACTACCTGCTGGTTCCATCCGATAAGTTAGTTGTAATCTACGTACTAATTCCAGATATCTTCCAAAAAACAAAAGCTATTTTAGTTTCTGGAACTGCACAAAATATTAACATAAAAATATCAAGTTGAACTACCTGTTAAATATTTTTACAACTACAGCAACTTTATCATCCTGTGTGAAAGCACCAATTTTAAACATACAACATAAAAACATTAAAAATGCCATTTCATGTCCAGTACCATAATCTATACGTGTTGGATTGCCAAAGCCTTCATATAAATATTGAACTATCTCTGGAACTGCTCTATGCAATTTTTCTGGCAACACTTTTTGTAATTCTACTATTCCATTCTGAAATATTATAAATCAATAGACTCTGTGGATGCCTATGTAAAAACAATGTATATTTACCTGTTGTAACTTTTCATGCCATACTCTAAATGATTTGTTACCAAAACGTTGGGGCTGTTCAGTAGGAGGTATTTGTGTTATCCATTCATCAAATTCATTAAGCATTTGTATAACATTTGCTATTATGAGGCTTTGTGTGCATTCAACATTTAAAGTTTTTCCTTGAACTGATTCATTTAAGGCCAATATAAATCCTAAGTATTCCTACAAAAATATTCTTGTATTATTTTTTATAATAAATATCATTGAATATTTTTATTTATTGAAAGATATAGAATAAAAAAAGATATGCAAAATCTTACAAAATACGCTTCTGACTTTTCCCAAATTGCCATGTCAGATGGTACTTTAATCGATTTTTTTGGGACGACGAATTCATGATCATCAGCTAAAATATAATGAAAGAATTATTTGATGTTATTGATTATATCTATTCTAATTACTGTCTAAAATACATACGATTTACAGGTGACTTCGACGTTGACATCGTACCTATTAAAGAATTATTACTCATACAGAATATATAATTCAGACTATTGAACAAAAAAAAAAGAAACAATATATTTAAATTATACGTGTATATAAAATATTATAAGACATCTGAATTACACACGTACATATATTGTGTCAGAAAAGTTAAATTGCTTCCAATATTCGAAACAAAATTTTCAAAGACGTAAGAATTCGATTCTTAAAATTGTTAAAATATTTGTTAAAAAATGTTTCCACCAACAGATTGATTCTTTATTATAAGAATAAAAATTAACAGAAAAAAAATACACAAGCAACTTTAAAGGATGCTTTTATATATTTCTTTTATATAAATTCACTAAAAGTTACCTAAATCTTCAAAAGTTACTGAAAATATATTTTGACCAATGAGTCAAATCAAGAAAAGTAAATAAAGCCACGTGATCAAATCTTTTGGGATTTCTAGGATTCATAATTCTGAAATTATAGATGTTATGATATAAAAAGCTAATTTTCCGACGAGTTTTTTAAATAGGAACAGTATATACATATCTTAATTGAACTGAATTGAGTAAATATGTTTAAAGGTCAGTTCCGATGTTTTCTCTAATAATTCACTAGCTATTTCCAGCCAATGATTGAGTCACCAATCTAGATATCCCTATGAAATAGTCTGTTATGTTAATGTCAAAAATATTTTTTCCTAGATTATAAATTGAATTCAGCTAACATAAATTAGAATCATATATATTATCAAAGAAATGAATATTAATGTTTTTTTATACATCTCATACAAATTGTCAAGGGTGTGTTATTCAATATAAGATAAGTTAAATTAAAAAATAAAAATAAATGGAAAAGTTATTTATTATCAGTTATTTATTATCTTTAAAATTACATTGAATACATAAGATTTATAGAAAAAGATTTTATATATACATACATATCAGGTTTGTAATTACAATATAAAGATATTACAATATAAAAATTTTTATTAAGCTTTCTAATGAAATTTATAATATTACAAGAATGAGTTATTCTAAAGAAGAAATAGAGAAGAAACGTCTATTAGCTTTACAACGTAGAAAGCAAGCTCAGTTGAGAAATATTCCATTCAATCCTAATGCAAATACAAAAAATAATGTTTCTTTTACTAGTAGTAATGTTATAACTAATAAAAATATATCAAACACTTCAAAAAATTTTGGACAAGATTCATTAAGATATGTTGACAATAAAGCAAAATTTAGAAACAATTCCTTTAAAAATAATGAGAAGTTCAATAAAAAAGATGGGCGATTTAGTCCTATGTCAACAAAGAAGTTTTTTGGTGAGAAATCCTGCATTACTGGGAAATGTTATATGATAACTGATGAAAGATTTACGTTAGAAACCTCATCATATTTTCCTTCATTTATTGAAACAATAAAGACAATTCCAAGCAGATTATATGGTATTTAAGACATATTTTTACATATACTCAGCATAACATTTTAATACTTGATAATACAAAATAAAAGTAATAATATTTGTTACATATATTTATTTTAGACATGAAAACTAAGCAATGGAATTTCCTTTTAAAAGACTATGAAACAGTGATGGAAAAAGCTATTAATTTCAAATCTGACATACAAATCACAGGATTACCAAATACAGTCCTTCAGGTATTATATATTGAAGAATAAAGTATATTTATTTATAAAATGTATTTATATATTTGTATTTATATGTTTCGTAGATATTCAGGAAAAATGATACCTCAAATACTAAAAATGCTTTATCAGATATTGATCCTCAATTAGTAAAAAATTTAATGCCCTTTCAACGAGAAGGAATATGGTATATTTATATAATTTATGTATATTTAAACATTCTTTTTTTTTAACAGAATAGTATTAAATTTATTATTTTTAGTTATGGAATATCTAGGGGTGGTCGTTGTATGATTGCTGATGATATGGGTTTAGGGAAAACCATTCAGGCATTAGGCATTGCACATTATTTTAGAAAAAATTGGCCAATTCTTATTGTTGTACCCGCTTCAATCAGGTTTGATAAAAAATACTATGTTAAATAGATACAAATCATTGTATGCAAACAAATATAAAAACTGATGTCTTAAATTTAGGTACCAATGGGCTGAAGCAATATATACATTTTTGCCATCTATACCTACACATTATATTCACCAATTTGCAAATACTAAAGACTTTATTGATAACAATAAAATTGTTATTACAACATATGATCTCCTAGTCCGGGCGCTGGATACATTTGAACGCAAAATGTTTGGTTTTATTATTTTGGTATGTTGCAAAACAATATTAATTAGATATAACAATATTAATTAGATACAAATAAATAATTTATTAAAATAAATAAATTTTTCCATAGGATGAATCTCATGCTTTGAAAAGTGTAAAAACTGCTAGGTTTAAGGCTGCAAAAAGTATAGCAAAGGGTGCTCGACATGTTGTTTTGCTATCTGGAACACCTGCTTTATCAAAACCCTTAGAATTATATTCTCAAATAAATCTTATAATGCCAAATTTTATGGGGTAATGTAAAATATTCGTTGTATGTAATCTGCACGCGAAAAAATAAAAATTATTTTTATACAGATTTCAGGAATATGGAATTCGATATTGTGCAGGAGAAAAAACTTTATTTGGTTGGGATTTTAATGGATCATCAAATACACAAGAATTGCAATTGTTATTAAAACGGACTTGCATAATTCGAAGATTAAAAAATGAGATTTTAAATCAATTACCAGCAAAAAAAAGGTGAAAAAAATGTATTTATTTATATCAGATTATTTTAACAGTACATAAATACAGTACATATTTGAGTTTATACAAATATAAATGTTTATTTTACAAAAAAAAATTTTAGACAAGTTATTATACTAGATTCAGAGTTAATAAAAACTGGCACTGAACAAATGAAAGCAATGTCTACGAAATTAGAACGAAATTTAAATGGTACGGATAGACATCAGGCTCTTTTAGTATATTATAATCAATCTAGTATTGCTAAAGAGGGAGCTGTATGGTAAACAATATTATTATTTAATAAATATTCTTATAAATGAATATTTTCTGATATCTGTGACAATAATATTTCAGTGATTATATTTCTAAATTATTTGCACGCAAGCAAAAGTGTATTATATTTGCCCATCATCATAATGTTATGAATGCTGTTTGTAAAGTTGCAGAATCTATGGATATAAAGTAATTATATAGCCCGCATCTACATAAAGATAAAATCTTCACTTATTTACAATTTATTTATGTATTGCAGATTTATTAAAATTGATGGAAAAACAAGTGCCGAACATAGAAAGTGTCAAATCGATGAATTTCAAAATTGCGATAATTGTACTGCTGCAATATTATCAATCACAGCAGCAAATACCGGAATTACACTAACAGCTGCGAAACTTGTTGTTTTTGCAGAACTGTTTTGGAATCCTGGGGTATTTATCGTTTTATTTTGTTGAAATTATAATTATTATCTGAAATTATAATTATTTAAAATATGTATAATGTATGTTTTATTATAGATATTATGCCAAGCAGAAGATAGAGTACACAGAATTGGTCAAGACAAGGATGTTATTATTCAGTACTTAATTGCAAAACAAACAGCAGACGATTATTTATGGCCTTTGATTCAAAAAAAAATGAATGTATTAAATAAAGTTGGATTTGATCAGGACTTTTCTCTAAAAGATATTGATGTTACAGTACAAGCATTGAATTCGAAACAAAGCACCTTAGATAGTTTTAATACTTTTAGTAGTATTTCACAACAAGAGATTGATGAAGAAATGATAGAATGTAATCAAAATGCAACAAAAGACATTATGTTAGAAAGTCAATCTTCCACTGAAGAATTTAAACAATTATTTGATTCAAATGAGGAGGACTTTAAATTTTGTGATTGGGACGAAGTCGAATGAAAAATTACTTTTTATACAGCATTGTGAAAAGTGTACAAATGAAAATGCATAAGTAATAAAAAGACTTACTATTTTTTTATATATTGTTTATAAACATTACTACTAATAATAAAATTTTTCATATTAAAAAATGCAAATATTTATTTAAAAAAGATGAAAAACAAGAATATTGTGTAATAATTTTCGCTTTTCAATTATATACATAATAGTTTCCTGTTACAATTTATTTTGAAACTGACTTTGTGTTAACTGATTTAACTTGACATTTGTTAACTTTATACTACTTTAATATAAAAATTAAATTTCCTTAAATTTTAAAAGTTTGAAATCATTAAGTTTCATGATACTATTGTAGCGTTTACTACATTAGCCTTATTAATACCACAAACGCAATGAAATATATTTGAACTCGTTTAGACATAAAATAGCAATCAACTGAATCACCATAAATAATTCTTTCTGTAAAAAAAATTAGTTTCTCATCTTCTATAATTACAATCATTTCTAATTTTTGTTGTTGTCCTTATCGCACGCTGCCTTCTTTGTCTACCGCGCGAATGTCTGTCCTTGTCGTTCTTGTCAATCTCGCGTGTGTGTCTGTCCTTGTCGCACAATATCGTTCTCCTTGTCTACCGCGAATATGACTAATGACGCACTAATGACGCTAGACAAGGAGAACACTAGCGTACGACAAGGACAAAGATATAGGTGCAGTAGACAAGGAAGGCAACAGAGTGCGACAAGGACAGACATATCTGTGCGGTAGACAAAGAGAGCAACAAGGACAGACATACTCGCGCGGTAGACAAGGAGAACGATATTGTGCGACGAGGACAGACACATTCGCGCGATAAACAAGGAGGGAGATAGCATGCGATAAGGACAACAATATAAATTAGTTTTGGCGTGATCCACACGGTGCATGTTTAACTTATGTTTTCAATGAGCGATAATTTAATAAGTATGTGAATAGACCTAAGCTCGCATTATTGCACATCTTATATGAACATAGTAATAGGCTATACTTTGAATATTTACCGCACAAACGAATGTTCTTCAATGCAGTGTTTCTTTCGAAACTAATGTTTGTTCGTTGGTTTAAACCGTGTGTGAATTTTTATTTATATTATTTATAATAACGATACTTGCAATGTCCATTTTTAATGCGCACCAGTTTTTAGGTGCATTGTACAAACGTTATATAATTTCATTGCCATCGATAAATTTGTCTAGAACTCAAAAAGCAAGTATCTCCTTTTGAGGTTAGAATAAATATATTTACATTCTATAATTCATTATATAATATTTACGAAATGATATTTCACACTTTTGGAATTATTTTACTCTTCTCAATAATCTAATAAATATTTGTATACAAAATTTGCATAATATTAGTTAATAATGGAATAGTTGCTTTTGATTCTAATACTTTTCTCTCTTTCGTGTAGATTTTTATTATTTGCCTTACCGGAGGATCACTACTGTTAGGAGGATTAGCACAATTTTTAAAAAGACGAAGAAGACATCCTCTCCCCTCTTCAAGAAGACCACTGAGAGAATTAAAACAAAGATATGCTGCTGCAAAAAATTCTAATTTTGGTAATTTATCGACATAGTATTTTATAAATAAAATTAAAAACGATGACAATAAAATTTCACTGTCAAGACAAACTTGTACGATATTTATTTTTTGTTTGTAGATGTATTATCGCAAGCATCTTGGGCAAGGAAAAGTGAAGCCAGCAGTAGAAGTCATATAAGTGATCGAGCATCACTTATATCTTCTGTTCCAGGAGGTCCAGATGGTGATGTAAGACTTACTCCACAACAATATGGGGTTCTCGGTAAGTGATTTTTTCGTATATAGCTCTTACAATTCGCAAGTTGTAGTTTTATAATATTTTAAATATATACCTTTATGTTTGCTATATCTTTTATAATTTCTAAAAGATTCTAGAATATTTTAATAATATTTTCGTGATTAAAATTTGAAGATAAAATTATATCAAACTTATTAATTTATTTGTATTTCCTTATCAAAATTAAAAAGTAATAATACAAATAAATAGAATAATACAAAAAAAAAAATAGATATGACTGGTTCTTAATTTTACTGACATTTTTTATTATACACAGAAGGTAGGGACATACAATGAGATAATGTTGCTAAAAAAAAAATAAGACAATGTAAAATGGACTTCTTAGCATACAAAATATTCTTTATAAATATACACGTTTGGAGGAAAAGAAAGGGAGAGAAGATGTATTTATATTTACATGATAATGCACAGCATGTAACAACAGATTTATAAATAATATATCTGTGCAATTTATATATTTCTAAAAGACTGAAGGTTGTCCTGGATATTGCTAAATGCAAATGTTTTTACATTGGGATTTTTATTAATATTTTTTCAAAGGCATACAGAAATATGAAGAAGCAACTAAAAAATAAGCGGTAATTTCTTTTCTTTCAAATATAGAAATATTCTATTATCATTTTCTTCCATTAATTTTTATCTTGGAAACGTACTATTCATTTATTTTGGGCCATATCCATTGCATCACTTTATTCGTGAGAAAATATTGCTGACAGTATTAAACATCATTATCTTGCATTATCTTCTACCTACTTTTTTTTCTTTTGCTTTATTTAAACACGCAACATTCTAAAATTCACATGTCCCAATCTCACAACAAATTATTGCTTTCTATGATAATTAACAAATTATTTAACAGAATATGTCACATTCCTTTACATCTACATAAAATTTTCACTGAATATCACAATATTGTGATTAGGCTTACTTCGATACGAATGTTACTAGAAACTCATGGACAATTTGTTTGCGTTCAAAATGAATGTTTTTGGTGTCATCAACATCTTTTTTCCATTGATGCTACAGTAAAGTATGAATAATTCCTACGATGTTGTTTATCAGATATCTATTAGAAAAACCTATAATTGATTAAATAAGTTTATAATAATTATATCTAATGAGAGTATAGAAATTACAATAAAATTTATACCAAGAAAATGTTATTGAAAAAAAGACGAATATACGACAGATTTTTTTCCTCCGAAACGTAAAGGCGTTTAAGATTAAACATACTTATTAAATAAGTCCATATTTCTCTTTTCGCTTATGAAACAAACGTACCCTACAAAATTATTAACGTATCTATACAAACGAAAATACTGCATTCCTTTGCCATTACAATTTCCATTAATAATTATTTTCTAGGAATCTGCAAGCCCTATCACTTTACATGAGATAGATGGGTACACAAAATATCATATTATTTTTACAGAATTGAAAACGGATCATCTTCGATTAAAACTGTACTAATACATTTTTAATACGATATTAATTACGATATTACTTGTAAATTTACACATCATTATACTTGTTCTTAAATAACTTCTTTTCTATTTCATTTTATCTAAGAATCTCCTCAGAACTTTATATCAGTCACATAAACAATACTAAAATAGCGTTGAAAAAATACACGTACCCATCCATCTGTACTCTACGTATTCTTATTCGCTACACCTTTATAAATCTTACAATTTTCTAAAATTATACTGCAATCTCAAAAATATATATCGTAACTGCATTAACTCGCGAATCTTTGTCTCTTCATAATCATTTTTTTCTTCATCATTTTCCTCTTCAATTTCTCATTCGCCGTTACTTTTCATTTCTTTCAGATACTATACATATATCTGTATATATACTATATATATATAGTATATATACTATATATATATATATATATATATATATTTGCCCGAGAATAATACCTGTGGTAATTCTAAACTCTCTTTGAACACGATTCTCAAAGATCATTCTTTTCTTTTTTTTTTTTCTTTTATCTCTTTCTCTTTTCCATCAAAAGCTTTTTCCAAAGTCTTTTCTAGAAGAAGATCCTAGAACGTACACTTTGCAAAGGCATAAAATAGTTTAGCTGGAAAATCGATTCACAGCGAAGATTAGTTTAAAGACGGAATGTCATTAGTTTACACATTTATCAGTTAATTCAACAGTATAGAGGTGAATGTTAACGGTTCGTGGTTTGTCGTTAACATGTCTATATGTTGGCTGCGATCGCTTGTACTTAACATTCGTCGGGAGACTAGCTCATCGCTTAAGGTATCCCTTTCATCATGTGCTATCCTAAACGTGTGTATATATATATATTTTTATGTATATATATATATATATATATATTAAATATGAAGTATTTTTTTTATTCATCTTCGAAAGGCAAGCATTATGTCAGCGTCGACATCGCGGTCTGACTTGATCAGCGATTTATAATCAAGGTAGCTTTTTTTTTTTTATTTCGTTCCATACTCGGCTATATGTACGAAATTACAGCAACATCTTGTGTGTATTTGTATATTCGGTTCATCTATGTTTTTTTTTTCTTTTTAATCTTTTTTTTTTCTATTTCTTTTTTTGTCTTTTTTACTTTTTTTTCTGCATTTTTTGATAATCTCTGGACACTGGCTTTTTTTTTCTCTACGAATATATTACTATTGCAACTTAGAACTTATAGGATACTCTTAGAGGCATTGATCTTTTCACGTGATTCTATGGACAATAATTGGTAACGAAATTAAAAGCAGCTCTACGTTTAATCTAAGGAGAGACGATGCTCCGGAGTGCGTCGTCTCCACCTTGTTTTTCAATGACAACGGCCCACCGTCGTCGCTTTGCATGTTAGACATATCCGATTTCTTCGGCGGTATAATCATATTCTCGTCGTGGTCCTCGCTCTCTTCCATATCGTGAGCATGACGATGATGAGTATCCTTGCTCACGTTCTGCGGGGTTGTGGTAGTGCTCGGTTCCGTGGTAGGTGGCTCGGTAGTGGTAGGAACTAAACTGTAATTGCCGAGGAAGTAAATAGGTCCGAATTCAGGTTTTATATCGAACATGGTCTCCTCGGTACGAATACCGCTTATCACGCGAGACTTCGTCTCTCTATCCTCGTAATAGGAAATTAATGTTCCACTATATGGTACCTCCATGTTGGTATAATTCGCTGTCAGGCTCACGTTTATTCCTGTACCAGGTTCAAGGAACACCTCTACCCTGTATATATAATAAATATATGTCAGTATATTAGAAATTTGAAAATGATTGCAACGAGAACTTTTGCTTAATATGTATACCATGTGTTGAATTTATATATCATATGATGTAGTATTTAATATCTTATTTATTATTTAAAAAAGTTCATATTTATAATGTAATTTAGAAAAAAAGATAATCTGATTATCTACCCTAATAGCTTTCAAGAATTTTAACTACGTATCAACAAATTATATTAATAATGTATATTTCTCGACATCTGATTAGGAAGTTTTTCCTTGTAACAAACGGCCTGCAATATCTTGAAAATATTAATCATAAAGATCGTATACACAAAAGATCATATATTTGATATATCAATTTAATTGATTAATTTCGAACGGTATAGAAAGCATACTCACGAGTATACGTCGGTACGATTGTTAGTTTCCTTTGTGCCCCACATTATTTTTGGTAAAGCGGTGCCGTTCGTCAACGTAATTGATGTGTTTAGGCCTTTGAGAATGGCGTGGCCTTGACCCCAGTACATCGAATACTTGTACTCGTAAGTAAAAGCTTGCGCCATATTCGCAGCTTCCGGCCCCTTATTGGCAAACGTCGTTTTGCCAAGGGTATTGGGCGTACGTTTAATCACACGCTTTTTAGGCCAATTCAATTTAACCCTTGTCAAATCGTAGTAAATCGGTTCCGTCTCGACTAGAACGTCGCCTTTCTTTGCGGTTCCTTCGGTGCCATCCTAATAGAAAAAAGTCGCAATGCTTACTATCATAGATTGTTAGTTTTTATGTAGGATAATATTTTATTCGTTTTAACGTTGAAATTACTTTCGTCATTTCGTTTCATTTAGATTGTTTTTATATTTTCTCGTGCACTATCTTTCTTCTGTATGATAGTTTGGAAGAGAAAACTCATTCCATGCTAACAACAAGACTAACACCCGGATTAACAAAATAAAGTTTTACCCGACGAATGTATTAATCAATAAACGACATCATTCCATTTATTGTGCATTCACGCGAACATCAGAACAGCACTCCAATTAAAATTTTATTAATATTTATGTTAGATTATACGGACATTTATTATTTGGTTCGTTATTAAACTGAGAAAAATGCTCGGAATTCCTTCCGTAGTTGGCCATCAACTCTCTTAATTGGCCTACCAAGGGTGAAAATTCATTCCAGAGAAATTTAAATTAGAAGCCGTATCTCAAAGTTTATTAGTTTTCAGTTAGACTTCATTAATTAAACTTTTTCTACAATCAACGTTCTCCTCTTAGTAAACGTGTGTTTTTGAACACGTTCGCACTGAGAATTATAACTTCCTATAATTAACTTTTTATACTCATTCCGTCCCAGTTTTTGATTGCAACTTACTTAAATCATACGAACTTAAAAATAATAATATTACAGCTCAATTGGGAAAATCCAGCCGCAGCAGTGCACCACTGTAAAATTAAGGAATCATATATCGCTTAAGGTGTGTTTCAACGTTTGATCAAAAATTATTTCCACGCGAAACGGTTCATTCACACCCCTATATCCCCATCAGCCATCATTCCAACAGAGAGAAAAAAAATCCACCCCCGAACGCCTCTAAACCACAACCTCACACAGCTGAAGGAGCACCCCTTTCGCTTCATCCTTCTTCCCCTCGGTTTAATTTTCCACCCTGCATTACCCAACTACCTTGTAATCCAGCTGACAGGGAACGCTATGCTCTTTAGCAAAGCGTCGCTTTGGCTAAATCCAAAGGAGAGAGTTAACACGCCCCATACGCTCCCTCTCCCCCTTTTTCCTCCTCTTTCAATGTAAATCGCGGAGCAATTACTTACGTCTCTGACGTAGCTGATACTCCCCAGAATGTCTAAGGCAGTCAAGGTGCCGATGTAATGGGTGTACCTCGGCGACGACGTATTTTTGTCAGTTTCTGCGGCGTGACGCGCGACGAACATCTTCTCTTTCTCCGTGGCCACGGCGCCGAACGGCGTGTTCTTGTATTTGTCCCAGTACTCCCAGTTGACGCGGGCCGCATTGTCTATGTTCTCTAGCAGCTCGTATTTGTCGTACGACTGCACGTTATCGTGAATTGTCACGGTGCATCGTTGCTCGTCACCCCTCTGGGTGCCAGCCACCCAGACGGTCGAGTGCAGTACCCTGCACACGTACAGGGGCCTCTTTCTCTCCGATTTCTCCGCTTGATTGTTGAACGAGTCGTCTGCAGAGAAAAAGAAAAAGTGAACGGACGTTTGTCTACGTGCAGCAGCTAACGAAAATCAACCGGAGAACGATTTTTTTCAATTTCGATTTTTTTAATTAATTAAAACGGCAAGTCACTGAAGTGAATCAGCACCTAACGCGCCTCTTATCAATTTGTTGTGAAAGAATTGTGAAAAATTTTGTTTTTTTTTTTATTAAATTTATTATTTTCTTCTTAGACTGAAAATTTTCCTTTATCTCACGAAAATTGATAAAGATGTAACATTTTTACGAATAGTACGCTTCCTTTGATAATATATAATAAAACAAATAGTCAAATAGTCAGAAACACAGTCAGTGAAATAGTTAGAAATATCACTGAGCTTTGTGTGTGACTAATATTCCTAATAGTCACCAAGCTTTGTAACTGAATATGTATGTATCTGTTTTTAATTTCCATATACATTTTCAGATTGTTGAACTTCAAATTTTTTATCAATCGCAATATTTGTACTAATCGATTCAATTTCACAATCGTGTTTTATTACATTACATAAAATGTGTAAGCTTTTTCGTCAGCCACTGTAGTTTTATCACTAGCAGACAGACAGGGGTAGTTTCATTTCACACACCAGGATGAACGAAGGGATGAAAATGCGAAGAGACAATTGCATATTCGTACTGTTTGAGGGATAAACCGTCTGACTGAGGTGTGTAGGTAAGAAAAGTTCATTCATGGGCTCTTCGAGGATGATGTCGAGACGATGCTTAGCAGTAATTAGCGGCGACGGGAAATTAACGCGAGAGTGTAACTGTGCTTAGTTTCCGGGTGTGAGTGATACGTTGTTCTGATGTGCAGCTTCGTTAGATCTCCGGCGGGATGGTCTAAGTTAGATGGTTTCACCATCTGTCTGAGAGGAGATCAGTCTATCAGAGGAAAGACGTGATACAAGTTGAAATTATTCGTTCCAAATTTCAGTGGATAATCGATAATATAATTCAATCATTGAATTGACACTTTAATTTCATGGTGTGATTAATTGAGAAGAAACAATCTGAAAAAAAGAAGTAAAGAATCAATTCATTTCAAATTGAGACTGAAATGCAACGTTTTTACGTTTTCAATTGCAATAATACCTCTAGAATGTAATTCTAAATCGAATCTTATGTTCATCAACAGTTTAGAAGAAAAATTAAATTGCAAACAGAAAACCATTCACAATCTGAAGAATAGAGAAAAGAATAATGTTACCAATATCATTTTCCATACTTTGGTCTCAAATGATTTATTGCAACAAACAATATGCAATATTTCAACAAGTTATTTACCAAAGTTGATAAAACCAATCTTATCAATCGAATTTTGAGAAGAAAAAAAAAAGAAAAAAGGTCAAAAAATTAATTTACGCTGCTCTGCTGCCACGTGCGGCGGAGACTCGATTAAAACTTAAAGAGAGCAAAGAAAATGATTGTGAATGAAATTCAAGTTTCGTCGAACTTTCGTGTCCCTATCGCCGTTGTTCCATTGTCCCGAAACTTCCGACCAAGTTTGCCCAGTCCGGGAAATTGTTCCACATTTCATTGAGTTTTCCCCTCTAGTTGCACGTACCTTCCGATTCTTCGATCTCAAAGCCGCCGATGACTATTTCCCTCGAGGAATCATAGTGAGAACGGGGAAGCCAGTTGAGGGTGGTCGATGTGATCAGTTGCTGGTACTTCGACAGAATGTGCACGCTGTTGTCCGCGCTCGTCAGCAACAGCAGAACGCCGAACAGTCCCACAGCAAGGTAGACCCTTTGCCAAGACATCTGCAAAATTTTATCGTTTTGCCATTGTGTGTGCCAAAGAAGGAGAAAAAAAAAAAAAGAGAGTGGCGCTTGAGAAACGCTTGGAAATTCGTTTGTGAGAGTTTCATATCGTTTTATATCGAACCTAATCCAGAAATATACGTGCGGTAAAAACAGAAAAAACGAGCTCCCGTAATGAGATCGTTATTAGCAGACTGCGGATTTTTATGCATTTTTAAGCTTTCGCGATCATTTCAGCTAATGAAATGGAACTTAAATGGAAAGTTCATTTTATTATATTACAATACTCTGCTTTAGACATTCTATACGTTACTTTTACATCAGGTATTATATATACATATGTGTGTGTATTTTTATACTTCCCAGTTTCTCATAAATATGAAAACATAAGTGAATGAAAATTCGCAGTCTAGTTATTAGTGCAGTAAACTAATTCAGAGGTAACCTGAGATAATAAGGCGCAGCTTGTATACCGCAGGATGAAAAAATATCGACAGAATTAACATCGTGTGCGTTTGTATTAACTTTTTAATGGATGTGCGTTGCTAATGGATGGAACTTTTTTTTTTTTTGCGAATATCCCTACGGAGTGACGTTGCGGAGTGGAGTAAACGGTTATTTAGATATTTTTAGAGGGAATTGATAGAAGATTTCGGAGCTTACAATTATAAATAATTAATAAATAAATAAGATAAAAAATTGGTTTATATGCAATGATAATATTCTTAAGAGTTATTTCAGCACGTATATATATTCTTATATACATAACATACAAAATATCTGCATAAAATTTCTAGTTATCCTTGGATGTGACTCTTTATTCACTTTCTTTCACTGTTTTTTACTATTTGAAAACAAATTTTATAATATGTTCTAGTATTTTCTTTATTTTTTCAAGACCTGTTGAAACATTTAAAATTCTTTGTATCTCATACTTTTATAAAATTAAAGCTACATTATATACAGACAAAATTTAAAAAAAAAAAAAAAAAAACAAAGACGATCAATATCTTCCAATTCATGATGTTTTTACAAACAAAATTTAAAAAAAAAAGACGTAACAAAATTTCATCAATCAAGAACAATCTACTCTTATCGTTATATCTATTAAAAAAAATTCTATCTACGTTTATTCCTTTCTCTCACCTTTTAAAAAGATATTTCCTCCGATAGAAACAGTGATAAGAAGACGATGCTTTTTCGAAAATCTGCAACGTTTCTGGTTTCTAGATGCGATGTTACGTAATGCTCCGCTGTTCTTGCCGTGTTTTATAGCGACCTTAACTTTTGTAACAGTAATACCTCGCCTCTTTTGCGATTATGTTTCTGCTTACAGAGCGTATCTTTAACACAGCCCAGTGTATAACTGGATCTCCTACTTCGCCTCGTGTATTTTCGCTTGAGTTAGCGGCAAGGAAACGAAATGAACGCGCGAATATCGCGGGAGAGACTCCGGCGATCGCGCCAAAACCAATTTCTCGCTACTATATCGTGTTCATGGTCAATTTTTTTTTTTTTTCAATCTGTCCTTTGTCATTGAATTTCAGCAAAATTTCTCGACGGAGAAATTCTTTCTCAGAGCTGATCATTCGTTTGTAGAGGTAACAACGTGCCATGTCGTGAGAAAGTTAATTACATTCGTAGAACTTTGAAAGGAAGTCAAGGATTTATGGAGATAGAATATTTCACTCTGGAGAAATAAAAATAGATTTTGATCCTTGAGATTTTGAAATACCAAAGGTATTGATAAAATTTGAGAAGGTAGCGTATAATTTACAATAGAATGCTTAATTGTAGATGGAAAAATAATATTTAAATGCAACTTTCATTTTTTTTATATATTTAGGACATTGAGACTACCGATAAAGAATGTAAAACTATTTAATTATGGAGGAATATAACAATGTATTTTTCAGTCTATATATATATTTTAATTTCTATTGAGAACTTTGTCCTAAAGATAATTTGGTTTCAGTTATTGGTTACCGTTGGATTAATTACATTAGTATACATTTCTGGAACTACATGGGGGAAGAAATTATTGGACCAATTCCAAAATTAAAATCTGCGACTATTGATTTTCCATGATTGTCCAAAGTAGGTCAGTAGAATTTATATTTTTGTAACCATCGAATATTCAGAGAGGTAAATTAGAAGAGGTCAAATATCAGGGCAATTGCTCCAAAATGGATACTAAATTATATAATTCAAATTAGAAACAATCGAATGAATATTATTCGAATGGCTGCAAAGTTCAATAAATAAATCAACGAGATTTTATTAATAAATTCTCTCCTTTCGGAAATTAAATAACCATTGAGGCTATCAACTGAACATTTAAGTAAAAATAAAAAAAGAAAACGAAGTTTTTCCTGCGAAAAAAACCACAACCTTATTAATTGCCTCAACAAACTTTATTGGCTTATTCAAGAATTCCACTATATATACACTTTATACACGCTTACAGATAACGGAAGCCGCAGTTTTACTATCATTAACGGTGTTCATTAAACATATAATATCTTTAGAAGGAAACAAGAAAAAGGATAAGAACGATACATGCTCGTAAAGATATTCGCTTGAAGGGAAACACGAACGCGCCAGTTACCTTTCAAGGTGTACCCAGTTATATATCTTCGATATACGTACAAGTTACTATAACGGTTCCGTGGCATATCCGTTTACGTGATAATACACTTATTTTATAACGCTCGTGCTCCGCTGCATTCGATTCTTGCTCCCTCGTTTCGCGATTATCGCTTCACTGCCTTTTCAAAATCATTCGCGAGCACACGACCTCCGTGTAACAGCAAATCTTGCTTGTAAATTATTCCCTATTTGTTTGATATTGCATCGGGAAAATAAAAATTATTGCGACAAGCGTGATCACGATGTTTAAAGGAATTGAAGATCGAATGTTTGGCAAGTGAATTCTCCCTTTGGAGCGAAAACTGATTTCTAGAAATATTTCCATTTGAAATAAATTCAGATATTAAGTCAGCTCGTTTCATTGGATAGTTGTGAACAATGGATTTTAGAGTGTTACATTTTATATCTTAGACTCGTCATAAATCGAATATCATACGAAACTTCAAATTTACTTGATTAGAACGTCATATTGTATCGTGTCAATCAAATGGAAATTTTATAATAATAATTTTTTATATTTTATCATAATTAACTATAAAATTTGAAGGATCGTTTGATTAAAAGATTGAAAGTTGAAATTTTAATATTAATCCACTGTTGTACAATAAAATTAAACGATAGTTTTTAACTATTATAAAGTCATCACTGTAGTGATCTATAACCTAATCGTACCAATAGCCGAAAGCAGAAATGAGGGAGCTCTTACTCAATAACGAAAACTTCAAATATTTTTCCAGCTGATTTGAAGAATCTCACTCGATGGAAATAAAAATTCTTGAAAAGGGGGACGAGAGATGAAAGACAGGTCGCCGATTTTTGGGATAAGCCCAAATTGTAGGGAGACCGTTCCATAATCCATTTTGCCGATCGAAAGAGATTAGGGTTCACAGAGAGAGGTGGACTCTCTTTGTTCTGTTGCGCAAAAAGCTGAACAAAAGCGTGGCGTTCTAGCTAGGGGAACAAAAGAGCATCTGTGTGTGTTTCTGTTCCAAGCGTTTCTGAATCGTCTTGAACAGGGTCGATTTCATTTTTAAAAAATTCAACTTTCAAAACCAATTTTGCCATTTTATTCTATCAACTGCTCAATATTTTTTTGAAGACGTTGAATGTAAAGATGCTTCAAGAACTCACTAGAAAGAAGAAAAATCTGACTTGATATGCAACTTTACAAAATTTTGACTCAACGTGATAATTTGAGTAACGTTGATTCAAGTGTAATTTCTCATGTAAAGTTTGATTTGATCTACCTAATCTAATTCTTCAATCCTTTAACCTCTTGCGCTGGAATGACGCACGTCGAGAATTTTTTGTTGCAAAAGTGCAATAGTTTTCTCAGTTTTAAATATATTTAAGTATAACTCAGGCAAAATAAAATAACAAATTTATCACTTCTTAGCAATCTCTATCCGGTGATATACCGATGAATTCAAAAAGAAGACGAATTATTGTGTACACGGTTTGGTCACTCGTTATGGTCCGCGAACCCGTTACCGTAGCGCAAGATGTTGAAGAAAAAGCTCGCTGATTGAGACCAAAGAAGAATTCTTCAATTCCGCTGTTTAATAATTAAATTCGTCCCTCTTTGATCTTTGAAATTTCATTAACTCGTTCAAATTGATTCCAGTCGCGTAACCATCGTCTCACCTATACCACCTAATTAAAGGGAACGTGTGTACCCTTTCGTAATAAAATTCGAACCTCCACAGTACATACACATAGTTCGTGTTTACAGCGTCGTTTAACAAAACGTTTCCGTTCTGCTGAACCATTCCCGCGGATGTATCGGTATTGTTGCAGCAACGCGATCGAACGATCGAAAAAAAAAGAGCTTCGATCCAGCGGAGATATCACGCATTGTGCGTTTCTACGCTAGACGCACAGTGTGATGGATCGGCCGATCACGTTGAAACGACTGGGCAATAAAATCCACTGTTGTATCTAAAAGCGAAACAGAAATATCTCTTCATTCGAAAGGGAACATTGAAAACTATCGAGGCATTATTCGAGCAGGCGGTTAATTCGCAACTGAGCACTTTCATTACTGAGCCGGAAACGTGAATCTTGTTCCACTGTTGACGTGTTTATTCCCGAAGACAATTTACGAATATCGTTGTTCAGAGCATCGGGAAAATCTAAACCAAGTATTCGACGACAATCGGCATTTCTTACTAGCTTAATTAATAATTATGGAGTACACGTTAACTCTGATTTTATCTTGGTAACACGTGCATATTTGGATAGTTTTATTTAAAAGAATGTCGATCTTTTCTGAAGATGAAAAACTACTTACGTACTACGTTTTGGATAATTATCATATACATATTTTTGTGCCGAGGAGAGATTAGTTTCAA